CCCCAAAACCCCAAAACCCCAAAACCCCTTTTTGTGTGTGAAATATTGAAATATCACCCAAAGATAAGAAGCTTATTAATTTTAAAAATGGAAAGGGTCATGTCACAGCAACTCAAATTAGAGAAGCCCTTGGTCGCCAGACCTTCGGTAGAAGAAGAAAAGATTCCTGATGATGAACCAGGGATCGAAAAACATATCAACACAATATTAATATCATCTTTGAACACTAACTCTCATTTTTCGACCACTGAAGACATTTGGGAAGTTCTCCAAGCAAGAAGATCACTCACAATAAAAATATTTCTGAGAATCTTATGCAGAATTCTTATTGAAAAGACACAGACAAGACAAATCTTACTTCTCTGATGAAACGTAAGCAAAATCTTCACTTGTTATAGATCCTTAACTACTTAAAGGAAAAATATGGCAATGAAAAAGAAGTCAAAGAGATTTATACAAAATCTATTGACCTCTTGTGCGGTCTTATTTCTGATCCAAGAGAGTTAGTCCAGACAAACGTCTGATATGCTCTTGTAAAGATCATCCAGAGACACTCAGACTTCTATTACTTTGTCCTTCGTGAAGATAATCCCAAAGATCAGTCACAAAAAGTTCTTTTGCATAATTATTCCTTAATCTTTATTCAGACTCTCACAGCGATGAAGACAAAAGAAGTAACCAATGAAAACTCAGAAAATTGTCGGATCCTAGTCCAAACCCTCATCAAGATTTACGAGTTCTATAAAAATGTACTTTTTGCAAAATTTTATCAAGTTTAGGCTCTTGAAGGCCCAGACCGAGTTTTCAGACTACCAAAAACAACTGAGAAGCATAACGCTAATTTTAGAATTTTTGTACTGCATCTTGAAGGGCTGTTATTAGCACAAGAATCCAGGAGCAACTCAGGTAAGAATTCAAAATGACCCACAGACCCACAAATCGATCTTTGCGAATTATTCTACTCAGAGCTTCCATTACATAAGGCAACCTTCGCATACTTTCAAAGAAGAATTGATAACCCCAAGATCAGGAGGACCATGTACCAGAAGTTAGCTGCCTCAAAAATGGAAATTACCGGAATCTCAAAAGACCCTTCCCTCGGCCTCTGCTTTAGTATTGACTTCAAGAAACCTCAGAGCTTACTAAAATTTTCCCAAGTTTCGACCTCGGAAGAAGAGGAAAAGGTCCAACCAATAATGATCAAATACTCTCAAGAAGAAGATGAGTGTGAAATTATTGATGCTCCTAGCAACAATACAGAGTTATGCTTGATGAATATAGAATTCTTCCATGCTTGCTTACTAGAATCCGAAAAATCATGAATCAATTACTGAATACAATTCATTTCCCATGTGACGGATTCCTATCCTGACTTAATACCTACAGTGCTGGACAAAGTGATCATTCAGGAAAAGTATTCACCTGTCCAAACTCTTTATTTCCTCCGGGATCTTCTTCTGTATGACTTCATAACTTTGCACAGCTGAAAACCTTCGAAAGACGATGGACATAGAATAGAAGACGCTGGAAAACTCTATGATTACTTTAACATCATGTGAGAAATGCTTCATGTCAAACCTGAATCCTTAAGCAACTCCCCGGTCGTGACGATGAAAATCTTGATCCTCACTCAAGGTATTCATGAGTATATCGAAGAAAAATATGAACTCAAAGAACTTACAGGTAAGCTCATCAGTTTTTGCAAGTCTTACTTCGACTCTGAGATTTGAAAGTGATCTTTTTGTAATATAGGCATTAAAGAAGAGCAAGATGAGTCATATATCCACCAAATGTTCCTATCCTTTATATTCAACAAATTCACAAAAGGAAACTCTGACCTTCAACAGATGAGAGTCCTTTCTCTAAAAGATCTTAACAATCTCATTGAAAAAATCATCTTGAACAGTAGGTACCTGTACAAATGGGATAAGGATTGAAGTAAGTACTTATCATAAGCCTTTATTTTACTGATTTAGATCAAAACAAGCACAGGAGAGTCTTCAGAGCATTTCCAAGGCTAATCAAGCAGCCTCCAGCCTCAGAAATCATCTACCTATATCATGAAATGTATGACTTAATCAATCATCCAATATTGCCAGACTCTCCCGTTTCACTGTGTGAGGACCTTATAAAAGCATGGCTCAAGCTGAAAAGTTGCCTAGACTATCAACACACCTCTTTTGAACTATGAAAAACGAACTTCTTTAACTACTTCTGGGATCAAGAGTAAGCATAACTCTCACATTTAGAGTAATAAGTGAGAAACAAGCTAATATCTCCAAATCTTCCAAATTTTACACAAAATTCAAAGAAATTAAGAATAAGGCTCAAATTAAGCTTCACGAAGCCAACAAGATTACTCAAGAGCTACAAATCTGCCTGAATGGTAAGCAACTTCATCACTGAAATCCATAGAATTGAAGAAAAAGCTAACTCACCCTTCGACCGACAAATCAAAGAGATCTAAACTTAAAGTAAAAATTGATGAAATCAAGAAGAAAATCACAACTGAACAAAGTTAGACCTGCTCTTATACCTATAGAGAACATCATGACCACAAAGGAGTTTGAAAAGGCAGAAGACACTATTAAAATCGACATCATCCACTGGGGTCATTTCTTAGCCCTACTTAATGCTCTCCTCAAAATTGCAGGCAAAGACTTTCTTGAAGCTTCTAACTCAAATTTGAAGATGATGGATAAAATCTTAAAAGAGTACATAATCCCCTTGATGAATCATGAATTCTCACATGAGATCCAACTGATGGCACTTGATTGCTACCTAAGCTTGATGAATGCTAACCGATCTATCTGAGTCAAGAACTTGTCATTCATTTACAAATCGATAGCCAACCTACCTAAAGCTGATATCGGAGATAAGCACCTACTTAAGCTATTGAAATCTCCTGATGAAACAGACGAAGATGTGGCAATAATCCTGAGAGAAGGACTCAAAAGTATCAATGCCTGATTTGATTTTGGTTTGAATCATGACTTGTTCTTTAAATTCCCTAACGAAAATACATCTAGAAGAAGAACCCGAAACAAGAGAGCTATGAACAATAAAGCCTCTGAGAAATAAAAGCATACTTAACCTTAAGGAGATTTTGTTACAACAGCTCACAAATGGACACGAGTTTTATAAAAGAGTTATCCTTGAAGGATTCACAAGACTTTTCACAGTTTCTCAAGTTGAACAGTCCGATTTTGTTCTGTAAGTGTCCATGATTATGTTTAGCGAGGTCATCCTAAGATCTTACTCAGGATCAGGATTTACCAATATCTTAATGGTCGACTTCTTCAACCAATACGCAAGAACATCAGTGACATGTAAAAACCAGCTCTTCAAAATACTCTGACTGACACTAACCTTTCTGAGCCAGTGTAAGGATCATGGGTTTGAGCACCCTGAGCTAGGAGATGGATTGACGATTACCAGGGAGATCTTAGGTGCTTTTATCTCCAACGCACCCAAAGATCATAAGTCCGGTTTTTCATTCATGGAACCACTTCCCAGTTATGAACAAGCATTGGTTGAATACATAGCTTTACTACTGATAGATTATCCAAAGACGACACCTTCCATATTTAGGATAATCCCAGACATCTTGAGTTTTATCACTTTCAGAGAGGTAAAAAGCCTCCCAAATGACAAGAAGAGAGAGACCAAAAACAAATATCACAGCCTCTGCAGGATATTCCAATCTGAACTCTCTGAATATATCCAAAAAGATGACCAATACAAGGCTAAATTGGAGGATTTCTTCACCAAATGTGGCGACTTTTTCAAGCATAAAGTTCACGACCCAGACCTAGATATCCTTAATGAAGATAAGCAATACATTAGAGATAATCATTCTGTTGAAGTAGCTGCTTATCTTCATGAAGCTAAAGACTTTTTCAATTCGCATCAAAAGATTTTACAAGAAGCTCCTCAAAGCTTTACTGAAGGAAGAGAAGAGCAAAAAGCTGAGCCTATCGACGACTCTAGCGAAGTCGAGATTATTGAGACTACTCCCGCCCCAAAGGTAACCACAAGGAATTCCAGAAAAAGGTCAGCCAAGGCTGCTTCAGCCATGACTCCTCCGACTGCTACCAGAGTCAACACAAGATCTCGTTCAAAGCGAGTTAAGCATACTTAAATGTAATATTTTCCAAATTTCATTGCTAAAACTGCGAGAAGGGGTTTTGGGGTTTTGGGGTTTTGGGGTTTTGGGG